TGCTACAAGCCCTTTGCATGAGGAAGAAGCTGAAGGGTTTCTGTAGTTTTAATTTTATGCTATTACAAAATTGTCCACAGCAGACTATATGCCCTATGTTAAACCTATTTTATCCAAACTGGTAAAAATAAAATAAAAAAAATACTTCAGCAATTTTTTCACAATCCTAAAACGCAAATGCTGCATTAAAATTTTGCCCTTAAATGGCATACAAAGATGCTGAGTAGTCTTAGCCTCAATTTCTTAAAACCAGGTTTTCAAACTACCTTTGTTTGGTGAATGTTTAAATTATAGATTGAAAACTATTTCTGAGATGATACTTAAGAAGATCTACTGCAGTGTTTCTCAATCAATGTTTCTCAGCCTTAGCAACGTTTAAGAATTCCCCAGACAGCATGGAGTTGAAGTCCAGACATCTTAAAATTGATAAGGCTGAGAAACACTGATCGACAGAAAATAAGACATAATCATATACAGACATAACTATAAAGAATATTCAGGCATATAGAACAGGAGAGGGATGGTTATACAGTACTGGAAGGCCAAATGTTAAGAAAAATATTTTAATGAAAAGTTGGATGCAAACAGGTTTTTTTCTTCTATTGGCATTCATGAATGGTAAAGGATGAAATATCCTGTAGTGGAAGCTAGTTCTGAAAAACCAGAAGATGTAATGAATAAACTCTTAAACATCAATAAAATTAGAATAATACAGTAGTCTGGTAACAATTGTACTGATGATGTTACCTAATTTGGGTAATAAAATGTCTTCAAGAAAACAACCAAGCCCAAAGGGCACCAAGGACCCCACAATTGTAGGATTTATACAAGCTACAGAGAAAACGTATTTTTTCACGAAAATATTATTGGTTTTGCTGGAAAAAGATGCTGTGTACTCTACTGTGTATATTTCTGTGCAAAAAAAATTAGTTGGCGTATCTGAAAGAGGATGATTTGTATATGCAGATTGGGAATCAGTTAATTTCATAAATGGGATGTCTTATTTTAGAAGCAAATAATTTTAATCAATAATTTTTTTTCTTGGCCTTTTTTGGAATTCAACACCCAGAATACATACAATGCACACTGATACATAATTGTGTCACAATAAATATGGAACTGAGTAATCAGACATTCATTCTCATTGTTTGAGAACTCCCGCTAAAATTCTCCCACTGAAGATTCTTCACATGTAAAGCATTGGGTCAAAAATGATATGGAAACTTACCGCATTTGATATACTGTATGTGACTAAATCATCATGTAAGGTAACCATTCTGTAACCAATATTCACTATGCCTGTGAATATTTTAATTAACTATATTAAGATTAAGCACATGTACATGTTTGCCATGCATGAATGGAATTGCCATCATTTATTTTTGTAGCAGAAATCCTGTCATTTCTAGAAAACATAATGAGACAGCAGGAGGAAAGAAAAATGTTGCCAACAACAAATTCATAACATCCTCTCCCAACCAGGTTGCCACCCAATGGTAAAAATCTGGTGTTAAAATTTTATGATGCCACTATAGTCATGTGAAAAGATAAGCACACCCTTTTGAATGTTTTGACATATTCAACAAATTTCAGCAATGATGTTTCCTCATCATCAGGTACGTAATATAAGAATTATTGTGCACCATTTACATGTTTTACTCCATTGTGTGGTTTAAATAAACATAAATGCAAATTTCACAAGTACAAAATGGAAACATATGACTGCATTTATCATTACCTAAAATACCTAAAGTTAAAATCAGGTGCTGAAGATCAGAGGCAAATGATTAGAATATTGTTAAATAACGTCTGGAAGGAGCCCGTCTTATTTAAATCTCAGATATTGTATTGAGTTTAATTTGCTCTTTGTTGTTAAGTGTATAGAATACCATGCCTAGATTGAAAAAAAAAACCTCTCTGAGACACACAGAAATTAAAATATAGAAGCCAATGATTATGGGAATGGATTTTACAAAATTGTCAAACATTGGACATCAAAAATTTCACTAAAATAACCTGAAAGATCATCTACAAATGGGAAAGATTTCAAACTACTGCTAACTTGTCCAGGCCAAGATGTCCCAATAAGTTCATCCCAAAATGTTGAAAAAAGTCTCTAAGAACCCCAGAAAGTTGTTATATCACCTACAGGTAGCTTGTGCCACTATTGATATGCACGAGTCTACTATTAGAAAGAAGCCGCTAAATTCAATCTCCATGGAAACTTTTACAGTAGAGAAAGGACATCAGGGCAAGAATAAGATTTGCTTATGAAAACCTAGGCAAAGGCCAAGACTTCTGGACAGGTAAGGCAAAGTCAGGGTTATTTGGCTAGGATACCAGGAACAATGTTTGGCAAAAACCAAAAAGAGCATTTTACCAGAAAAGCCTATGCCAACTCAAAGCATGGTGGTGGAAATGTTATGGTTTGGGAAAGAATCCACTATGAATTGTTCATAGTTCCAGAGGGTGCTTGAGGATAAAGTGAAATCATTTGTCAGAAGATTGAAGTTCAAGCAAAAGTGGACCTTGCAACATGACAATGACCCCAAACATTCCAGTGAGTCCATTTCCATCGAGGCTGAAAAATAAAAAAAGAAATAAAAAGAAATAGAGGGTTCCGGACTGGCCAAGTCAAAGCCTAGATCTAAATCCCATCAAGATGTTGTGGGATAATTTGAAACAGGCAGTGCATGCAAAAGAAACCTCTCAAACATTGCATAGCTAAAAAAAAATTATGAAGAGAAAAAAAATCTTCCCAGTTAATGTCAGAGACTGGTTGACAGTTATAAGAAAAGCCCCAAAGGGGCCAAATATCAGATATTAGAACCAAAAGTGTACTTAGTTTTTCCATAGAATAAAATGGCACATCTGTTAATTTTTTTGTTGAGTAAATGATTGCAAAGTCAATTTTCCATAGTTTTTTGTGTTCAGTTATGCAACCTTTATCATTATTGTACTATTTGAATGAAGATAAAATATTGGTATGTCCACATGTTAAAAAAAGGGAAAAAAACCTTTTACATGGGGGTGTGCTTACTTTTTCATGTATATATAATATTGCATAACAATAGATTTGCCTCATTTTCATATCAAATGAGGCAAATCTGTTGTTCTGTGATATTAAGTGGGTATCAGTGGTTTCCTAGGGGTCAAAAAAGTCAAGATGGCATGCACATAAAAAGGCCGTGGCTTCAGTCACAGGTTGGGGGCATCGTCTTGATATTTTAATCCCTCATCGTATGGAATCTCTTCAGATTTATTATATGAGTTGAAGTGCTCCCTATCCACCCTTCAAAAATATATGCATGCTGACATAGTTATTTTCCCCACTCCCAATCCTTCTATTGCCTATTTTTCAAATCACCAAAATCTTATTTCTGTCCAAAATAATGATCGATAAAGCCTAGAGAAACGTTAAAATATTGAGACTGCCCTGGGATAAGGACAGGGGAGTGCCACTTTAACTCAAGTACAGCTAAGGATGACTTCATCCCATCTTATTCATAGGTGGATCAGTATCATTGAGCACAGCATGAAAAAGATATTGTCAGGACATGTTTGTATCATAGTTAGGTGCAAAAAGATTCCATGAGGAATCTTTAATTATGCCTCGTTTTCATAGCATTACAGGAGTGAAAACAACTCACACACTTTATTTTTTCTTGCAGGTTACAAGTCCAAGGTCCAGGGGCAATGGCCTTTGATTGCCTGATGCCCTTGAAGTTTTTCAACTCAAGCAACCAGAAATGCGACAGTTCATTTAGTGACCGTTCAAAGTTATAACAACACTGCAAAAACTGATTTACAACCATTTTTCACAGTTACAAATGTGCTCATGATTATGTAGTCCAGACATGTCAAACACAAGGCCTGGTGGTTGGATGCGGCCTGCAAAGTGGTTTCATGTGGTCCACGAAGCCATCCTGGAAACAGCCCCCGCTACCTTGGCCCTGGCCAGCCGAGAGCCAATGTACAATTTTCTGGTGGCCATCTATGCTGAAATGCATTCAGTCTTAGCTCCACAAGGCCATCTGGAAACAGCAAGGAACCAGCCCTTGCCGTGTCAGTCCTGCTCCCTGGGTGCATGCTGGGGAGGTGTCACCCTTTGTGAGGAATGAAGAAATGCACCATTGCCTGGAAGTGGCCAGCAAATGGCCTTCACCTACTTCACATATTCGGCTTGATGGGCTCTGCCCTGGTCTCACCTCTTTCTGCCAGAGACCCTCAGATCTGTCCCACTCCTGCCCAGGCCCCCACAGGCACCCTTGACCCGAATGATGTAGAGCTGGCCATGCCCACCCAGTAGGCTGCACCCACCCTGGCCACACACACACCCGCCCCCACGAGGGCAACCACAATGCTAATTCAGCCCTCAATGAAATTGAGTTTGACACCCCTGATGTAGTCAGACTTGAGATGCTTGGCAACTGGTTCATACTTATGACCGTTGCTGTATATCAAGGTCATGTGATCACCTTTTGCAACCTTTTGACAAGCAAGATGGGGAAGCTAGATTCACTTAAAAACCAGGTTACCAACTTATCAACGTAGTGATTCACTTAACTGTGGCAAGAAAGATTGTAAAAGGGGGCAAAACTCACTTTTGTCTCACTTAAAAGAAATTTTGGGCTCAATTGTGGTCATACGTCTAGGACTACCTGTTAACTGGAACACACTATCTGCAATATTTGAAGGAAAGCAAAGAGGGTCTACTGTAGATTGCCCTAAGTGAAGGCCACTTCTTTAAACCACTTTCTTCACTTAGCAAGCCTCACTTACGCGTTCGCGAGTATGAGGGACAAGAGATTAATTGGAATTAATGACTGCTTTCGGGCACGGACGACGTGAATCATTCGCGTGAGTAGGGCAGCGCTGGCTGCTCGAAAACTTTTGGATGCTTTCCCTCCCTTTCCCGCCCCCGCCGTCACTCTGGGGTGGGGCTCGGAATTGGAACCCGGCCCCTAGAAGGTGAGAGGCGGCCGCCCGCAGCAAGCAGCCAGAACCGCGCGGGGGACTCTCTCTTCGGGCGCGGGGCCACGTGGAAACCCCAAACAGCGCAGGTTTTTCGGTTCTCCGACCTTGCGCAGGAAGCGTCCGAGTAGGCGGGAACGGGAGGGGGGGGGCTGAGTCGCGAAAACCCCTTTCGAGGTTGCGTGGCTTCTGCTCTGCCAGAAAGGCGCAGGAGAAATTGCTGCGGTGGCCACCGTTACCGCCTAGCCGAGTTTGTCTCGAAGTTTTGAAGAGGTTTCGGAGAGGGAGGAGCCAAGAGACCCAGCGCCTTTCTCGCCTTCGTTCGGGTCCCAGATTTTTGCGCGTCGAAACGAAGGTGGCGGAACGAAGGGCGATGGACTTTCCCTCGTGAACTTTTCTGCCAGCCCGACGCTAGACGAGGACCACAAGGAAACCGAGAAAGGGGAAAAAGAAGAATCCCGCCCTAGAGGATGCTAACTGAAACCAAGTAATGACAACATGTACGTTTCTGACTCGGCACTTGTCCTTACTGAAAGGAATCACGCTTTGCTTCTCTTCTTTTTTTTTTTCCTAAAAACCTTGCGAAGCAGTCTCAGTTCCCTTCTCAGCCTCGGAGAAGCGAACGCGTTTGGGCTTTGTCTACACTTTACTTGCACGGTTTATTCCAGCCAAAGGATTTGGTGCTCTACCTCTGCTTTTTTTCCTTCTTGGTGATTTGACTTCTTTTGGCTAAATGCGATAGGTCGTTTGTGGTTTAATGTGTCCTTAGGACAGAGCCAGTGACTCGTCTGTGCAGAGAAAAAGTAGGGCCCCCAAAAAAACTAGCTTTAGGGAGAACCAGGTTAAAAAAAAAAGCCCAGTCCCTATGGAACAGACTTAACTCAATCTGATTTCTTTGAAAGCTGACAGCTGATGATCACAGGAAAGGTTCTTTTGTGTGTTTTTTTAAAATAACCACATGAACCCACATGTGGATTTAAAGTAATAGTTATAAGGACCCATTTTTGCTTTTTCTTACATGATTGCAATACAGCTTGATGGAAAGTTCATACAAGCAGTTGGCATTTACTCTTGGTTTTCGTTTAGAACTTCGATGCCTAGTTTCACTCAGCTAAATATTATTTGGTGGTGGCATAGTTTAAAAACCCCAGCTTTATCTGAGAGAAGATGTGAGTAAAGTGTTTTACAAATATTTTACAAAGAAATACTTCCAGCGGAAAAGATGCTCTGCCAAAAAGAGGAACAGGAAATCATGGAAGATATTCACCACCTTTAACTGTCATGGTTCTTTGGTTGCTGGGTTGCTTCTTGTCTATCTTGGGGAGAAAATATGGTATTGAGATTTGAATGATTATGCATTTAACTTTCCTAGCTGCTGGACTAACTTATCAGACAAGAATGTGCAGTATTACAATATTACATAGTGACTAAAGATGCTCATTACTTTTGCTTTGGGTTGATACTTGCTAAGTGTCAAGTGAAAATACATAGTTGTGAGCCAGAAAGGAAGGAATAATGGAAATCATTTTGAAAATAAATTGTCCCATTTTATTTATAGTACCTAGGAACTTTTAATAAAGCAAATTCCAGAGGATCATTTTTATGAATGTATTTCCTGTAAAAAATTTACCCCAAAGTCTGCCTGGTTTGGATTAGAAATCTCAGTTACTGAAATTAATCTAAAAAGCAGTATTTTTATGCTATGTCCATCACACTAATCCAATTTATTTATTTAAAAGATTTATATGGCTGCCCATCTTAACCAGCATTGGGAGCTCAGAACAATAATAAAACCAATAATATAAAACAATTTTAAAACAATAAAACTATTCTGAATAATTTGCAAGGAAAGGTAAAGATGGAGACATATAGTATTTTAAAAACTTTACTACAAATTATAAATGGCTAGAACGACACCCATGAAAAATGAATGTGACAATCTGAAGAGAAAAAGGTGATAGAATGTTATGGGGATACAGGCAGATACAAAATAGCATAGATGATGTTTACAGTGTAAGAAATGAGATGTTGTGAATGTAATTGATGTACTGAAAGGGAGGACTAATAATGTATGCTATTTTTGTCCTTCTTTGTGCCTTACTACTATGATGTGAGGAGGGGTAATTACAAATACTGGGATAGATTAAGGAAAAAGTCTAAATCTGATATATGGTTACACTTGGAGAATAAACTAAATTGAAAAGTCTATAGATTTCTAAGTAAATGTGCATAGGCTAAGTGAAAGTTGTACATAAAATTTCATCAATTTGTTGACTGATAGATTAAATAAATAGTCAGCTTTGAGAATCTTACGATAGTGAAATTAGATAAGATTGCATTATAATAATTGTTAAACCCTTAGGCTTAAATGGAAAAACATCTGTGCAACCAATACATCACTGTCATTAACTTATATAATTAATTTGGTTCAATTCCTGATTATTCATTATAAAACCTGAAGTGAAAAAGTTGAACGGAATTGCAGTTTATCCTTTATGCAATATCACTAGTAATGGTTAATACCTCATGATAATATCCTTCTGTTACATTTGATTTTATTTGTTGCTGATTTGCCCCAAAATACTTTGGAAGTTGCAAAGTCCATCTTTTTTAAAAGAAAACAACTGAGACAGTATTTTTTGTATATTCTTTTATAATAATCAGCAAAAATGGTATTCAAGAGGAAATCCTTATTTGCATGATCTCTCTTTGCTGAAACTTCATTTTTAGTAGGCAGCTGCATGAATTTTAGTAGTTCTGATGGGTAGTCATGCAAGGTCATAATTATATGAATGAAACCATGGAAACTTATAACTCATTCTATTCATTATTCTTTCCAAAGTCAGGCTTTGTTGCATGCCATTTTAGAGAGTTGTATAGACTCTCTATAGCACTACGTCATGTTGATAGCACAGTAGTGCTAAACATCTCTCTAATTCCTTTAGATTTTATAATACATCTGCCTTACAAATTGCTTAATCAGCAATATATGTATGTTAAAATAATGAGGATTAAGATTAATGATTAATTTCAGTTGCCTTGATATTCAAGGATACATTTTTACTGCCACTTGTAATCAACAAAAACAACGCTTTAAGGCAAATTATGGTAGTTTCCTAAAAGTAGTGGTAAGTCTAAATGATGCCCTCATAGAATATTTTTTTGTATCTATCTATCTATCTACCTATCTACCTACCTACCTACATACCTTCATCTTAAACCAAGATATCTCTTATCCATTTTCTTGTAGATTGTTTTCCTTATTATTGGAAAGCATTTAAAATTGATAATCAAACTTTATATAAAAGATAATGCCTCCAAGGAATTCTGCATGCTAGTAAATAATAACGGGCATCCTCAAATACATTATCTTACTACACCCATTTCAGGATTTATTCCTATCATTAATTTGATCACAGCTGCTGACTCTATCTCTCCAGCCTATGCCTCCATATTCAGAATACCTTGGGAAAAAATAAAACATCGGAAATCTACTAAGTCCATAGATAGGAATTCTATGTACATGTTGGGTTTAGAACATATTTTTTTAGATTAATGGACTATACCTTAAAACACAGCCATAATACTCAGAATACTCTAGCTATTAAAAAATATTAATGGAACTTGGATGTTTCCTTCCTTCCTTCCTTCCTTCCTTCCTTCCTTCCTTCCTTCCTTCCCTCCTTCCTTCCTTCCTTCCTTCCAAACTTCTTACAGGTTACTAAACCAAATGCACCCTGCCTTAACAACAGCATCTAAGTGAATCTCATGTTTTGCTGAGAATAACGTGAACTGTGTACTATCTCAGCGGCCAACCTTTTGGGCACCAAGGACTGATTCCATGGAAAAAGGTTTTTCCACAGACTGGAGGAGGCATGGTTTTGCATGCTGCCTGCATCCCACAGATGGGGCTTCGCTTGTTTGCACGGCCCAATTGCTGGCATGCCATGGACCGGTGCTGGTTCACAAACGGGGGGTTGGGAACCCCTGTTTCACCTGATTGCTGAACTTTGTTATGGCTTATACACATCTTACACCACAGGTATCAAACTTGACATGTTGTGACGTATCATGACTTTTCGCATTGCTGAAGCTAGGGTGGGCGCGGTCTCTGCATAATGCAACTGGCCTGCAGGCTGGCAGTTTGACACCCCTGTCTTTTTTTGCAGTCTAAGAACCACAGTTGGTCACTGGTGGCTGCAGTGGTAGCAATTGAGAGAAGAAAAACACCTCTGATAGATACTTGTGACAATACTAATAGCTGATAGAAGGATCAACGTATGGATATTACAGTACAAACCCCGGGAGATATTGCAGCAGATTGGAAGAGAAGGGATTTTGGAGAGGAATGAGGAAAAAGACAAAATGGGAGTGCTGTATTTAAAATTATTGTAAGTTGTAGCCTGTGGTGGACTTGATGTTAAAAAGGTTCCAATCCAGAAAATAGAGTTTAATTGCCTTGTTTGAGCAATGTAATATATCTGGTTGCCAGAACTCAATCTGCTCAAACTGTGAGGATTTTTCAATCCATTTTTACAAAACAAATTTTCTTTAAGAGATTTCAGTATGGATTTCTGGATACATACTCTGATCACTTCGTATTTAAACTGATATAAAAAGATTCCTGTAGAGATCAAAAATAAAAATGTTTCCATCTAAAAGAAACAAAATGATGTTTGGAGGGGAGTAGAATGGATCGGGGAGAAGGAACATTAATTGGAGAAATGTACTTAAAATATTTCTTTTTGAATTGGGATTAGTTCCAGGGATATACTGAGTTCCAAACATTTATATTTGTAAATCCAGTATAATTTGAGTTAAGCACTGAGTAAAATTAGAGGATTAATTGACTCTCTTATTTTCAGTAGCCTTAAAATATTTCTTGGTAATTTTAATTGACTTTATACCTAGGTTTTAATCTGTGTGTTTGTGTGTGTGTGATTTTTGGTTTTAATAGTAAATCTGCTATAACATATTTGTTAAAGGCTACCTTATATATACATAAGATTTCCAGGAACTTAGAGTAATTTTAATAGGCATAATTTGTCTTTCAAAGTGAGAAAAGATCTCTTTAAGTAGGATTGATTGAAAATAATGATCCTCTGATATTCAAAATGCAGTCTGTATTTGCACTATTTAGCTTAACTGAGAATTATAGCTGTGGAATAATAGTTTATTGACCGCTTTTTTTTAATGGATAGATAAGATACTTTTATTTACATAATTTGGGTCATAGTGCAGGCCATCCTTAAAATGTAAAGATTTCCTCAGCCATATTTTCTTAATTAATGTTCTTAGACTCTCTGTAGTCTATTTCAGTATTATACATATATAGGAAAAAATGAGGCTAAGAAATATAAAGACAAACTTCTTCATCTAGTAAAGAATTCAGAATATGTGTGTTCATTTATTAACCATTCATTATGGATCTCTGGTATCTCATTTTCAGAAATTTTAGCAAGGATTTATTTGCAATTGCATTGACATGCAAGACAATCATTTTGTTGTGTGCTAATCTGGTTATTTTAGAGTGTCTGGCTTCATCAAAGAGCTTTTTATATTTCAGAGAGCAAGAAGTAGTGTAGGATCACCATTAAGTTTAATGTTACTGCTCATCAGAAAGCTGAGTCACTTTCGGACTTGATAATTTAAGATACGGTACTTTTCAGTAAAGAACAATGTGATTGATTAATCAGCTACTTATTTATGAAAAATCAATAATATCATGTAATTTAATTTCTAACTAGAATGAAACCGTTTGTACATTTACCTTTAAAAGACATAGACATTTTTCTGTCCTTTCTAAGGAATTGATCTATGTAAGAAAATCTCCGTGCCATTATCTAGGGAAGAGCAAGTTGGATTACAAATATAAGTTCCCTGTAAAATGGCTGCTTTTGTCTGAAAAGAAAAACCAAAAGGAGATACTTTCCATACACAGAGAATAATCTCAAAAACGACTTCTTGTTTTACTGATGTTTTAGATTAGATCTTTCATAATTTTGGAAGGACATATGGAACTGGAGGTAAGGCATCTGGAGGACATTAGGCAGCCTGTGAGGAAACTCAGATGTTCTAAGAAGACTTAAGTACTGCCTTTGATTTGCTTCATATTTCCTTTCTCACGTAGGCACAATTCTCATGAATCTGATGAAAATAAGTACTCTAATGTTGATGGTTACAAATATGGGGTTAATATAGGCTGATGGTATTTAATAAATTAGCAATCTCATTTTATATATTACAAAAGGCAGTTAATGAGTATTGGCCACAGACATATAGCTCCTACATGACAATAAGGCTTTAAAACAGCTTTACGCTGAAATCGGTGAAATCAACTTTAAAACCCTGTTGTTACATGTTGGGAAGAAATATTAAAACTCAGATTCAAAGTCAAACTCTATTTTAGCAAAGGAGGGCTGTCCAAGATACAACTGAGTCAACCAGAAAAAAAATTTTTTTCTTTCTCCATCTCTGTAGTGTATGTCATCAATGCCTGTCCATTCATTTCCCCTTTTGATTACATATAGCAGAAGCAGAGAACGTACAGTTCTTCAGATGTTGCTGAACTATGCTTTTTATAATCTAGTCAGAATGCCCTTTTTTAAATGAACTTGTGGGTACAGAACCTAAAAAGGAGCACAATGTAGATTTTCTTACATTGTGGTAGCAGTATACAATCTATCTGTAACCCCAGGGGCACCCATGCTGCTTTCCCTGAACCAGTCAACTTTCCTTGCCATCCTAGCTCCAAAGTCCCCCTCCCCATATCAGCTGATATCCAAGTTATGCCATGCTGTGTGATCTTTAAGACTATCTGAAAACACAGCCTAGAAATGGGCAGCATATAATTTTAAACAAGTAAAGTACCATTAATAATGAAGAAACTGCATAGTGCCCAGGTTGGAGTAAACTGCAAAAGGTAAATATTCCTTGGCTCTACCTAAATTAGTAACATACTCGTTGTTATATAGCTTTTTCCTTAATAGATGCAGTGATGCTAAGGTCAGCCTAGAGCAGTTGGTCTGATACCCCAGTGGAGTAAACCAAACAGTTGGCTGTCCTCTCTAATTAGTCATAGTGCGATTCTTTCCTGGCCTGCCTGCAGTGAGGTAATTCCTATACTAGTGATCATGCAATAATCACCAATTAGAGTACACTATCTCTGAATCTAGATGTACAAAAGGAAGTTAAAGAAAGGGACTAGTACATTCATCTCAACTTCTTCCTCCCTGTTGGTAATGATGATCGTGCCTATTTTGTGGAGATACCAATTAATGAGTAATGATGACTACCTTTGGTTCCAGATTCTGATTCTTGTAAGTGTAATCCAGTTTGCATGATATATTTAGCCTTAAGCAAATATTGCATTTACCATATTCAAAGACTGTCTATGATGTGAGACAGAATGGCGACACCTATGATCCCATTTGTAATAATATAGATATTTTCATTTTCATGTCCTTTTTTGTGAAATGTGTTGTGTCCTAGAATTCTTAGTTGTGGTAAAGGAAAAGAGTCAGTGATGTACAAAAGTGCTCTAATGACAGAAGGATTGATCCCAAATCTTCACTGGATGCACAGAAGAGAAACAGGGAGAATAGTCTATCATCCCTATGTGACTTTTAATGTTGTAACTAGAATTAAGTCAACGTTTTTAATATCAGAATAACTATTTGTTTTTCCCCTGTACGTTACAGTAAACTAGGTGATCTAGCAAAGCTTCCACTAATCCACTGGCTGATGAAACACAAGCACAATTTTACACTTGGACTGCACCTTATATTGCTATTCCAGTCTTATATCCAATTTTGTTGTTACCTCTTTAAATCAGTGGAAAAAGATCTTAGATTTGGTAAATTTAAGTGTAACTTATTTACTTGTTTTCAGTACCATTCAGATGATGCTACTTTGGGAGTGCATTTCACGAATAGCAGCTTTATTGTAAAACATTTGGAGATCAGCAAATAACTTTCTCTGTTTTAGATAAGAAATAAGTAATAATAGCTATCAATTATACAACTAAAATGTTTTAAGCTGCCCAAAGTTGCCTGTGGAAATAAAATCAATTTTTTATATATATATATACTATTACTTATTTCTTATCTAAAACAGAGAAAGTTATCTGCTGATCTCCAAATGTTTTAGAATAAAGCTGCTATTCATGAAATGCACTCCCAAAGTAGTGTGTATATATATACCTCAAGTATTTAATATACTATGCAAGAAGAAATAGATTGAAGAAAGCAACTCTTTGAAGAAAAAGTAGATTTGTAATACCAGGAATGTTAAAGAGGTATCTATATTTTTCTCATTCCTTGTTCCATAGGATGTCATATGAGATTCAGATGTGGTGCTGTCAGTGGAAAAAGAAGTCACATTTATTTTTTCTATTCATACTCAGTCTTCTGTGCATAAAGATTTCAGGTAAGATACCATGAATATTTCTTTAATAAATCCTTAAAAATACTAACCAATATTTATATTGGTTTTATGGAAGTTTTGCAAAGTTATTTGAAGATAATTATATTATTATTATACTATTAAGACATTATATTAATAAAACAAGTATAAACCTTTGCATCATATATGCATTTATATTTTTGGATGGATGCTTTTTACTTCATCAGTAATCCTAATTTTTCCTTGTTAATTCTTAAGAGTTACATTTCACAAATTATTAAGGTACAATTTTCAGATCAGATGCCCAAGTAATAGGGGGTGGCAGCCAGTGGTGCATTTTGAATCTCCTAGTGCACCACATACAATCTTGTGTGCTATTGCACAATGTGCTAGAAACAGAATTTGACAACAGCTGTAACAATTCATTAATATTAGTACTTAGTGTAGAAAATTCAGTGCAACAGGAATTGAACAAACGTCATACTTAATTACCACAAATATCACCTATAAATCTAATCATTGTTTCTTTCAATATGAATTGCACACACAATAGTATCATTTAAGAAGTTGAGTTTTGTGAAGCATCTGCTAAAAGTATGTTGTGAATAGAAAGTATAGCTTCATTTGTTCCACAGAGTAAGATCAATTTTACTGCTTTATGAAACAATAAAAATATAGAAGGAGGAAAACAAATCACCTCAAAGGAAGAAAACAAACTGTGAATTTCCCTCTTTGGCACATCTCTGATGTTCTGATAGGAGTGGTCTTTAATTATGGCTTTGATGTTATTAGTCTTTGTCACCTTATGATATTTGTGAGTCTCTGCCAATACTTCTTTGAAGGTGTGGTTATATTTTTTACAAACAGAAGAATGGAGGAAAATTAGGCTTCCTCTATTTTGTGTACATAGTTTGGATTAGATTTGCAATTAAGTAGAGCTCAATGATAAATAAGTAACCATACCAGTCTGTCTCTTCATGATTGCTGTCATGGGTATTATGAAATTTATTTCGGAAAATATTTTTTTATTTTCTTTAAACGTTTATTAAATAGTAAATTGGATTTAGTGAAGCCTGGGAGGGGACATGACTTGCTCTGAGAAGTAGAAGGAAGGAATTGCTTTTGATACAGATAAATTCCTTCTATTCAGAAGATGTATTAAGTTAAATATGTGGACCCAGACAACACGTTGTTTACTAAACACGAAATATTTGTAACTATAAAAAAATAATAAAATATCTTACAAAAAAAGAAGACAACAATAGCAAAAAATGCTGCACAAGGAAGAGCAGAATAAGTTCAATAGGTGGTAGATAGAAATAAACTATTAGCAGGAGGAATATGATTGCTACTGGTGGAATAGTCCAGATAGGAGAATTCAAATAATTTTACCCCAGTGGCAAGACATAAGAAAACATCTAGTCACAATTGCTAAAACTGAAAGGAACTTTAGAAACACTTCTATGCTAACATTAATAGTTTAGCTTCAGGGTCTTTAAAAGGACATACAGATTTTGAGATCAATAAATAGCTATTAAAACCATGGTAAAAACCATATTTTCTGAAAACTGAAGAGTCTGGAGCCAGATGCCACACTTGAAGGAATGTGTTCCATAATCCGGAAGGAATACTGGCTAAGGTTCTCTCCTCCTTTTAGAACCACAGATCTCTGATAGCCTGGGCCATCTTCACTAAGTTTCTCCTGCAGACCTTAATACTGGAACAGTTATTTTAATGAGGAAAAACATGCATTTGGATGGTTAGGCCTTAAAAGTAATACAGCTTTAAAAAGTCAACTCTACCATCTTACATTGTGTTCTGGAAGCAATTGGCAAGCAGTTCCAATATTTTGGTAAGTCATCATTTGATATCTGTTCCTTGTGCTAGCTGGCAATCTAGATGCTGCACCACTTGACATTTCTGAATACTTCAATATATAGGGATTGTGGCAATAGTCAAAACAGCTTGGTCAGCCACTATTAATATGACCAACTCAGTTGTGACATCAAGCATGGTTGTGAAACATTTCCACAACTGCCATATGTGACATCTTGGTGACAGCCCATGGTCAAAGAGTACTTCTAAAGTGTAGACTTAATCCCTTAAGAGAAAAGTAGGCTTAGTCAAAACGAGCGGGATCTTCATATTTTTACTTAGGTTTTAACTTGATTTTTTTTTCTCCTTTTTTAATCGTCTTCTTAATTAATGGATACTCAAGGCTTCTAATGGCTTTTGTAGAGTTGGGTGCTAAGGAACCATTCAGCAATGCAGCAAAAAACTCCAGATGACTTCTTGCCTCTGTCTTCAGTTTAGATAGTGGGAATACACGGGACACAGGAATAGAGGGGTAAAGTAGTGAATAGTTCACCATCAGTAAGCATCTAATTAGCTTGCATGATGGTATTATCTTACTACTTCATTTTCGAAGGGCAAATCAATAACATCAACCACTTATTGTTTTAAATCTGAGTTTAGTACAAGTTTAACTCTCCCTGTCTATACATCTTTCAATATTCAGGTAATGAATTTGCAAGTTTGGTTGGTATTCTGTTAGAAAGACTATGCAAAATATCAGAGTATGAAAGAATAATATTGACATGAATCTTCATAGTATTTTATAATTAGATATGAACTTTAGTATTTCAGAAATAGTAGCTCCTGAATTTTCATAAAATTGCTTCATGAGTACAAATGCTGCAATGCACTCAGTATTGTAAATTAAGTAAAATCTACTTAAAAATAGGAAGCTATTTTTATGCAAGAATGTTTGGAAATACTAATTTAAGTAATAATGCACTTGTCTTGGTACATTGGTAATGAATGCAGTAGATGTAATAAACATTGTACAATTTTGAACCAGCTATGAAAGGGATTTTTTAAAAAAATAGTAATAATGGAGTCAGCCACATTGCCCAGAGCCAGCCCTATGATTAGTCATAATAGAGCAATGGATTAGAACCGGTAACTGAAGTGAGGTTAAAAATTCACCTATTGCCCTCTAGAATTGTTGCACACAGAACCTGTTCATTGTGCCTATGGCACATGGAGCTCTTAAGTAATTTGCTTCCTAACTAGAAGATCCTAGGATTATAGTACAGAGAGCTAAATACAAGTCAAATGGTAAGTATGGAAGTGATTTTAACAAGGGATTACTGGTTCCTTCTATTGCTTGGACATGGGTTTTATTTTTAAAGTTATTTAAATAAAAGAAATATTTAAAAATATTAGTATAAGAAAATTTAATGTTGCAATGGGATTTGATATTAAGGCATTGTGTTTTCAATTTTTTGAGCTCTTTTTAGGACAGTGGTTCTCAACCTGTGGGTCGGGACCCCATTTGGGGTCGAATGACCATTTCACGGGGATCGCCAAACAACGCAGTCTGCCATTTTTTCCCTCTTTTCCTTAGCTGTGCTACTCCCTTTTATTCTATTGGCTTTTGAAGGCCAATAGAATAGTCTCTCTTGAATAGAGTCTAATTCTATTGGCTTTCAAAAGCCAATAGGAATTGTCCAGGCTGTCTCTGCCCTGCTGAGCCCGCCAAAAGTCCCATTCTGCAAACAGTGCTGCACCAGTTGAATAGTCCTCGATTTACGACCGGTTGAGTAGTCCTCGACTTACGACCGGTTGGGGGTCGCGGCATTAAAAAGGTTGAGAACCACTGGTTTAGGAAATCCTAAGAAAAAATACCACTGATCCATTTGGAATATGTGCATTATATACATAGCACTTTCCACATTGTCAAAGCAGCTATGTCTTTTTTCTTTCTTGTACAATTGTTTCAGAAACTGCTTCCATCTGTCTGATGTGTGGGCATGCACAGACATTTCTCTTCATTTTTTTTTCCCAAAAAGGAGAAGTAGCTGTACATGCATATTCATCTAAATAGAGCTGGGAATAGCTTTTGAAGCAGGTGCATAACCCTGGGAAACAGGTGGCTGTCTTTATTCTTCAGGAACAGATACTTCAGCTGCATTTCTATGCATTTTGAAATTCATCTTTTGAAATATTTGCATAGCCCTATTAGTCAATCCTAACAATTTCTTCATTAGTTCTTTTGAAATATCTACAAACTGTTTTATAAGTTGGACACATCAGTATATTTTCCCCAATAGATAGCAAATATTGAATTTCCTAATTAATCATACATAAGTTGCAATTATTTTTGCAGTTGTAAAACCAAGAGGCCTGCTTATTAAATAGTAATAAGACTGTATCACCACCAGGACACTCAGTGTTTCGTTAATTAAAAAAACATACTATTCTTACACATATGAAAGCTATTCCTGTAGCAAGGGCACAGATTGGAAATTACACATTTTTCTATTTGTTAAGGACTAGCTTAACTTTTGAATTAATAATCATTAATTCAAATACAGGTAGTCCTTCAACTTAACCATAACGGAGCCTGGCCATAATTGTTGTAAGATGTGTCTATCATCAGACTGTGACTAAGCCAATTTTACGACCTTTTTTGTGGCAGTTAGTAAGTGAAGACCATGATCATTAAGTAAACCCATTGCTTGCTATACCAAAGGTTTACTGAAAATTAGAAATAAACACTTTCAGAAAAAACATTGCAAATTGCAGTCATGTGATTACAGGACACTGCAAACAGCCATAAATGTGGACTGGCTGCCAAGTGCTCAAATGTGGTCACATGACTATGGGGGGACTTCAGAACTGGGCTGTATTTTTTGGGGAGGTCCATTATAATTTTAAATGGTCATTAAATGGTCATCTATATTAGTGAGGACAACTAATCAAATACCTGAAGAAAAAAAACCTCAGATATTTAGAAATTGGAAAACAAGTCATTTGATCTAAATATGTGAAAAAGTAAGATATGCTGATTTTAAAATTTTAAGATGTGTATGTGACTTTGATGTGCCAATTCTAGAAGGAAAAAGTATGCTAAGAATAATGTATTTTTCTTTGTCAATTGTTCTTCGTGCAAAATACTGAGCACTAATTATGAGGATTATCAAAGATTGATAATCCTCATTTTTTATTCAAAAGAAATG